GGGGAGTCTGCTTCCTCCTCTCTCTCTCTGCCTGCCTCTCTGCCTACTTGTGATCTCTGTCAAATAAATAAATTAAATATTTTTAAAAAAAATAAAAGGGTAAATTTTATGCTGTGCGAATTAGATCTTAATTAGAGAGAGAGACACATACAGGCAGAACAAGAGTAGTAAGAAAACAGGCTGGAAGGGCAGTGGCAAGGCAAAGCCATGCTGCACCCATAGATATGAGGTGGGTGAAAAGCAAAAGTAGCAGCATATGCAGAGAGCAGACCATGTGTCCACGGTCAGAAATATGGGAGTTTCTAGGTCTTCCAGCTGTGGAATTCCTGATTACATTACAATCCAGTCCATCTGTGTCCTTACAAAAAAAACCCTTTAATATATGAATATATGCTAGCTCTAGTGAGTATCTGTTCCTTGCAGCCAAACAGGCTGACAAATACTAACTTTCTATCTGTTTAAAAACAATGTCCTGGGGCGCCTGGGTGGCTCAGTGGGTTAAAGCCTCTGCCTTCGGCTCAGGTCATGATCCCAGGGTCCTGGGATCGAGCCCCACATCGGGCTCTCTGCTCAGTGGGGAGCCTGCTTCCTCCTCTCTCTGCCTGCCTCTCTGCTTACTTATGATCTCTCTCTCTCTCTCTCTCTGTCAAATAAATAAATAAACAAAATCTTTAAAAAAAAAAAAAACAATGTCCTTAGGGGGAAAGAAATGGGTAGAGGGGATTAATAAATACAAATTGCCAGTTATAAAATAAAACATGGGGATGTGATGTACAGCATGGGAATACAGTAAATAAAACTATTAACTCCACTGGGGCGCTTGGATGGCTCAGTTGGTTGAGTGTCTGCCTTTGGCTCGGGTCATGATCCCAGGGTCCCGGGACCAAGCCCCATGTCGGGCTTCCTTCTCATTAGGGAGCCTGCTCTTCCCTCTCCCACTCCCCCTGCTTGTGTTCTCTCTGTCAAATGAATAAAATAAAATCTTAAAAAAGAAAAAACAAAAACTATTAACTCTGTAAAATGACAGATAGTAATGAATAAAATAAAATCTTAAAAAAGAAAAAACAAAAACTATTAACTCTGTAAAGTGACAGATAGTAATTAAACAGTCATAACCATTTCACAATACAAATGTCAAATCACTGCGCATTGTACACCTGAAACTAAATAATATTGTATGTCAGTTATACGTCAATAAATTTTAAAAAATCATTTCCAAGACCTTTTGCTACTCATTTTTTTTCTCTCCCCCCTTCTCACTACCTGTGGACCTCCATTTGTTCACTACAGAAAGAGAAAAATTTCAGATACTTACCAACCCTTCCACCTCCCCAAGGGGCATAAATATTTGCTGCTTCTCGATCTCCAGCCACCCACCTACCCATAACAAGTCCCTCTCTGTGCTGTGGAAACTGCCCAGAAGAACATGAGAATAGAAAGGACCCAGAAACACTGGCCTCAATTACTTACCAGCTGTTCTCTAGTGTGAACAAGACAAAAAGCATGTATGCTGGAAGGAAGAATTTCCATTTGGATAAAGGGAAATCTTCCTGTTAGTTGGGGTGTTAGGTACTAGAAAAAGCTAGTAATAAAGGTTTTTAAATCATCTTTCAACAAGTGCACAGGCTAACATCTGCTTGTGAAGGTTTTCAGTCTTCACAGTATCAGAGATAACATCTGGAGACTTTATTTCAGTAACTACCTTTAATTATAAAAAAAAACAACACCTCATAGGGTTTATCATTCATTCAACTGTATTTCCCAAGTTCCTACTATGTAAGAGACATTACACACGAGAGGGCGCTATAAAAGGAGACTGAGCAATATTGCCCTGAAGGCAATGGCACTGAACAACTGGAAGGACTCAACTATAATGCCCTACAAATATTTTCATGGATATATAAAAGTTCTGTGAAAGAAAGTGGCTGGATGGTTTTGTTTTGTTTGGGGGAGGAGGGCAGGGGTTTAAGCTGAATGGACAGAAGGGCTGGAAACACTGCGTTACAGTACGGCATGAGGAGGACGTGGTAAGGACTAAGGAAAAAGAGAAGAGAAGAGAGCGAGACAGCATTAGAAAGGTAGAAACGGACTTGAGAAAGGAGAGAGGACACAAACATTTTAAAAGATTAGAAAAAAGCGAAAACACTAGAAAAGTCAATGAGAATAAACAAATTGGAGAGACCCAGGGAAGAGCTTTTCATGTAATACTGACAAACTGAGACTTTATTCCAAGATTTTTAAACAAGGAAGTGATCAGATTTGTCTTTTAAAAGACACCTGGCAGGGGCGCCTGGGTGGCTCAGTTGTTTAAGCATCTGACTTAGACTCAGGTCATGATCCCAGGGTCCCGGTACAGAACCCCATGTTGGGCTCTGCTCAATGGAGAGCCTGCTTCTCCCACTCCCTCTGCCTGCTGCTCCCACTGCTTGTGCTCTGTCAAGTAAATAAAATCTTTAAACAAACAAACAAACAAACAACTGGCAATAATACAGAGGATGAAACAGAATGGGAAAATACAGAGATTTCCACACAAACTAGCTCCGAAGATTAGGGCCCAGTCTCAGCAAAGCTGAAAAATTTGGAGGCAGGATTCCCTATAACTTGGAGATCCCTTGATGAAAAAGATGAAAAAGGAAGTAGTTACTGATCACTCTTGGGTTCTAGTACAGACAATATGGGAAAGTGTTTTTGCATGGGAAGCTCAAGGGACATTTGGGGGAAAAACACAGAGATCTGAGAATCAAAGAAGTACATCGATACCCCTTTAAGCCAAGGGAAAGCCAAGAGAAAAGGGCCTGAGCTACAACTCCTAAACAATACCCATCTCCTAGGGTACAAGCAAAGTAAGAGGAACCAGGGAAGCTGAAGAGTGGTCAGAGCAGATCAAGGACATGGTTAAAAATAAGAACAGGAACTACAGTTCAGGTTCCCCAACCCCTGCACACCTCCAGCAGCCATTTTTCTCTTTTGTAGTAAAGAAATTCTGAAATACATTGTTAGATTACATTCCCAGGCAAAAATCACTTGAAAGAGAAAACCAGTGATGTCAAGTCTCCTGCTAAAGAGTATGAATTAAAAGAAGGGCTGAGAATCCAACAAATAAGTGGCAAACACACCATTCAAGAACTTCCGTCCTCTCAACTCTGTGGTGTTTTGGCATATAGTACCCATGAGAGTGGGCCCGAGGCCTTGCAGTAATGAGAGGAGCTGGGCTCATGGGTACCTGGTTCAATGACACCTGAGGCAGCCTGGTCTAGGGGGCAAAAATAAGAAAAGGGTATCATTAAACTTGATTTTAAGTCCAAGGCTGACATCAACTGTCCTCAGGCATGTCAGTTATAGCCTCTGTCAACTGGGTTTTTCATCTTTACTATAAAATGGGCAATAGCTTGTGCCCAATTAACTTCCTACAGCTTCTGTAGGATGGAGGATTAAATAAATGCACTTAAATAAACTTGGGAAAAAACGATGTGATGGTATCCTCCCCCATCACCACTAACAGGATGTGCTGCATTCAGTCCAATGGCTCTCAAACCTTAGTGTCCATGAAAACCACATGAGACATTGCTAAAATACAGATTCTGGGGTCCTATTCTAAGCATAAGAATATGTAGGCATGAGTCCAGGGATCAGCATTTTTACATTCCAGATAATTTTCATGCAGTGATCTGTGATCCAGATTTCATGGGATACTGAATTAGTCTAACCTCATGAAAGATGAGAAATCAGGTTGAGGAAAAATGCTATATCTAAGGACCAAAGGCAGCGCCAAAGCACAGAGAGATACTGTTACAATGATAGACAATATGAACCACAAATCCTATGTCTAAAAAGACATATCTGGTACATGGGAGTACTTCTATTATGTATTAAGTCTTTATGATGACATTCATTGTGATTTCACCTGTTATGTGCAGCTAAAATAAAATTTTAGCAGTAAAGAACTTTCATAAAAAGACATCTAAATTACCATTATTTTGGACACTACAGAGAAGGCATAGCATCCATTTCAAAGGAGCAAACCAGCTACCTTTGAGGTCCCCCAAACTATTCCACAGAGAACTGTTCAGAATCTATTACCCACACCTGTTACGCGTAATCCCAAGGTAAAGTGATTTCCAATGGAGGCCTGCTCTCAAGGCCTTACATTACTACTGTTATCTAGGACCAATCTACCACTTAATATTCTTGGCTTTGAATAACCTAAGGCTCATCTGCTTGAGGTTTCAAGGTACTTTGAAGCCTGGTTAAAGTAACTGAAATCAGCAGTTAGAAATGGGTTCTTCTATACCAAGTGCTGCACTCAGGTTTCCTGAAGCCACAGCTCAGGCCAGGTTAGCAATTTAGCTGCATACAACGGCAGCGTCACTTCCTGAACAATACTGCACACTGATTAGTTTCTCGCTCCCATGTTGAAGATCTGGGAAAACTGCCAATCAAGACTGATCCAGCTTTGCTTTTTGGGGGGGGGGTGTCCATCTGACATCCCTAAAATCATGTACTGTGTCGCATTTTCAGTTAGACTAGGAAAATAATCAGAGCCCGGGATTATAGTTTAGATGCCAATACACATTCTGCATACGCTATGGTAGCCAGTCTCTTCTGTAATCTAAGAATTTGATATAAATAATTTCCCAAAAGATAATTTGAAATTGCATATCCAACACAAAGCAGTAAAGCTAAGGTTAAAAAAAAAAATACTTTGGAATCTATGATATGGGAAAACACTACAGCCTGAAGGAGCCAACACACTTGAGTTGATGTTGCTGCTCATATATCAAACGCACCCTTCTGTAGAGAACTTAGTTACAGCCCCAAGGAAATCAGCAGTAATGAAACAGAATCAGACTACAATAGAAAATAATAGTAGTGTGAACTTTGGCTTCCTCACCCAATTTTTTCTTCCCTCTTTCAGGGAAAGGGACTAGTTTCATCAAATAACAAAGAAAATTGCCCAGTTCCTCTGCTTATGATAAAAATTAGACAACAAAAATACTTACACAGGAGTGGAATTCAAAGAGCAATGATCCACCATCATTTCTGGAAGGAAATCCAACTTAAACGCAGCCATCACCTCACTCTCCCCTTCAGAAGCCAATGATATTAACTTGCTGCACTTGTCTGATCCACAAATACACACAGCTTTAGCTTCCTGGGCCCCACAAAAAACACAAAGTGGAAACAGGAGCTCAGGGAAACCAGCAATAAGTGCCACAGAAACAGGCAGGACTGGGGAGGGGAAAGGGAGTACTGGATTAAAGGGGGGATGTGAGCATGTGAAGGGAGGCTCAGCCCGGCACACAATGAAAGTGCTGATGCGCCAGGCTGGGTTTGTGTGATTTTCCCTGGCGAAGCAGTACTAAGTGCACTGTCAGATAAATAGAGTGTCAGATCCATGAAGATAGCAGCAGCTAACAGAGCAGAAGAAACACAAACTTGTTTCACATCCTCCAAACTCCTTTCCACGAATCAGGTTTTGAGGGGCCCCAAACCCTAAAACTACCTAAAGCAACCCCCCCCCAAAACAAAAACAAAACAGCTAGGGAAAAAATAAAAAGAAAGAAAGAAACAAACAAACAAAAGAAAAAAAGCTCACCTCATGTGGTCTGAAAATGTTTTTGGAAAGGAAAACTGGGTTGTTGGCCTTGGTTTAAACTTAGCTTCCATGTGCCAAAGACAGCAATGAGCAGAGTGCTGGGTCCAAACTAACCTCAGCATAGTCACATAAGGGATGGTTCAGACGGTCAGAAACAGGCCACAGGCAAGGTGCTAAGGAAGTGGTCACCAAAAACTCAAGGGCTCACATACTAACTACTACTGCACTGGACCAACCCTGACTTCTCAATGGTGTGTTGAGACCAAAGTGTGCTCCCTAATGGGTCCTCATCAGAGTGAAGGACTTTAAAAAAATTCCTGCTTCAATGACCTTCATTAGATGGAATAGGCAAAACTTTATCCTGAATCTTATTTTTACCAGAATATTTAACAAGCGAAAATATAAATGAAAAGTAATATTCTGCCTTTTGACAGAGTACTAGGAAACAATGTCTTTTCTGTTGTATGACCTTTCTAGAGAAACAAAAACCACCAGAGTGATAATAATGAGAAAAGCAGGGCCCACTAGAAGCAAAAAGTCAACCATGTAAAGGAAGGACTGAATAATGTAAACTCTCTGCATTCTCCGTCCTCCTTTAAACTGATGCTAAAACCAAGATTAATGAACACACACATAAAAATTCTATTATGGGTGAGCAGTAGAAATGGATATACTTAGCAGTCAAGGCAGATGTGGTGCTCCCGTTCTCAATTTAGCTTCCCATCCTCCAAACAACAAATGGTGGCATTTCAGTATTTAGGCAGGGACTCTAAAACTCTATCTCTGAAGGCTCCCACATTGCGCAGGCCTTCTTTCCATTTTTATCATGAGGATTGCCTTACCTCAAAGATTTCACTTCACTCAAGCTCAGTTCACAACACAGGGAATTTTGAAAAAAGGAAGTTATGTTCAGCCTGTAAAGAGGTAAACAAATGAACTCCTAAACGTATAGCGTTACTTAAAAACAAAAATAACGAAAGGCAACATGTCATTGCATAGGCCTAAGTGCTGTAGCCTGGCTAATAGTGCTGGACCCCTGTCCGCATCTGACCACCGAAGGAGAAACGGTGTCTTCTAATAAACAGGCGTAACCATCCTAAAGTAAGAACTAAAACAGCAGCTAACCACTCTTCTATTTTGTCAGAGACCCTGGCTCCTTTGACCCACTACTTGAGAGTCAGAAGTTGCAGGAGCTCTTCCGCCTCCTGAAGGGCGATGCTGCACCAGGCTGCAGTGAGAGGAGACTGCAACGGGCACACAGCACGCAGTTCACCAGGTGCTGACTGTCAGGCAGGCAGAAGACAGTAACCCTAGCTGGGACTGGTTAAGTTACTGGTTAGGTTTGTCCTAGTTTCTCCTATGCACGCTGGAACTGATCACATGCTTCTTCCTACAGAAAGCTAGCAGAACAAAGAAGTAACAACCAAATTAGGGTTTTTTTGTTTGTTTTTTTAGTTCAAGGGTTCCTTTAAAAAGGAAGGAATCGACAAATTTTAAAGAATCTCACTAGTGATTGCTTTTACTATTCACTAAAAATATATCTAGCTCCATCTCCATTTAAATCAGAATCACATGCATAACAAGCGTATTTAATGTGGAAGACTTTACTGAGCAGCCAGGCACTGCTCAGCGTATGAAAGGATATGCACTCCTTACATTAATTTTTACCAAGCCACAGGCTGAAAAGTATTGGTTTTAGAGTAATGTTTTAAAATCCATTTTATGATTTATAAGACAAGACTGCTTTAAAAACTTAAAAGATGGAAATGCTATTACATGAAGGAGGGTGCTTCTCTTTAGGCAGGTCACAAGAGTCATCTCAGTATAATTAAATTCAACATGCTTGTGGGAAAAGAAAGCACGGATATTAATCACAAGTCACAATTTTAGAGAAAGATAAAAAAGTCAAATGATAAAAACAATTATTCAAATACAAAAATGCAGATGTTAAGAAAGGAAAATTTAAAAGCAGAATTAGCAATTACTCACAGAAAACTGCCCATAAGTTGTTTTTTAAATTTCTTAATCAGAAACACATTCCAGGCTTTTTCCACAAAGGATGTATTAGAAGTAAAGAGATGGCAGGAAAGGTTATAACCAAGGGTCCACTGCAGGAGGTTTTAATTTTCCCTCACTTCCTTTTTACCGTCTGTCCTCTCACTATAAATTTACATTCATGGTTTCCTCTTCTTTCCCTGATGTTCTGTGTTAGTTTTCTTTGCCTTGATTATTCTCTACTTCTTTTCTAAGGGCAACAGTTCAAAAGCCCAATGTTGTGAGGGCAGGGGCAATCAGCCTGCTGTACATTAAGAACCAAAATCATTAAAGCTGATTGGTAGATAAGGGAAAGCCTCTGAAGAAGAGAACACACTGCATTTAGAATATCAGAACGGAATAAACAGTTTAAAAACTGGATTAGAAGAGAGAAATGCTAGAAGTCCCATCAGTTGTTCTGTCAGAAGAGTGAAAGAGCAAAGAAAAGCATAGTTGAGCAAAAAGGCCCAGGTGGCACATGCAATTGTCAGGCTATCTTGACTAATAGAACCAGGGAGTTCAATGGCAAGTGACGGGACTTTATACTTCCACCCCAATAACCTAAGTGTGTTTTAAAGGGCAAAAATGTGAAGCCTGGTTATATGAGCATAGAGTAAATTAGAGCCTATTGTAAAATTATAAAAGAGAACCTATGTCATTAAAAACCACCATCAGTCTATGTAAGGAAAAATGTAATAATCTAGGGAAAAGTCATGACACCTCAACAGTTAAATGGACTAGATATTTTGCCCCCAAAGCTTCTAGCTGTTAGGTGACAGAAGGGATGCAGAAAAGAAGTAAGCCAATGATGCTACTTGAAAATAACCAAGCTGGGGTGCCTGGGTGGCCCAGTGGGTTAAGCTTCTGCCTTCGGCTCAGGTCATGATTTCAGGGTCCTGGGATCAAGCCCTGCATCAGGCTCCCTGCTCAGCAGAGAGTCTGCTTCCTCCACTCTCTCTGCCTGCCTCTCTGTCTACTTCTGATCTCTGTCTGTCAAATAAATAAATAAAATCTTAAAAAAAAAAAAAAAAAAGAAAAAAAAAATAACCAAGCAGACTAACTTAAAATTTAAGCTTAAAATTACCTTTACCAGCTTGAACTTACTAAAAAATTGAGTATTTCTGGGGCACCTGTGTGGTTTGGTGAAGATTAAGCATCTGACTCTTGGTTTCTGCTCAGGTCATTATCTGGGATAATGTCCTGGGATAGCCACATAGCGCTCTGCATTCAGCATGGAGTCTGCTTGAGATTCTTTCTCCCTCTCCCCTTGTTCTTCACCCACCCCCACCCACCACTGATGCTCTCTCTGAAATAAATAAATCTTTAAAAATCTTTCTTTTTAAAAAATTTTGTTTCTAATCTACAACTGATGTGAGACAAAAAGCACCAAGTTCAGTCACTTTTGTATTCAAATTGATTTGACTATAGAATTATCATTTATGGTACCCTGAGAGGATATGACAAGGCTAAAGGTAGGAAACCTAACTATCACTTTTTTGAAATTTAAAAAGTTTTCCACTTCCTCCCCCTATATAACCTTACTCACCGCTACCTCCTCCCCCAATCACTGTCAAAGATAAGGACTGGCAGAAAGATACTCTTCGGTGCTTAGTGCTGTCAGCAAAAGTATAAACTCAGAGCCTCCCTTGGACTTTCTCAAATTAACTCTGACCTAATAAACCGTCCTGTCATATGGTGACCACCTTTCAAATCAGGTCATATTTTTAGATCCCAAAATGTTTTGGAACTTTAGGGTAACTCTTAGTTGGTAACAATATACTATGTAAGTTTAAACTTTATTTCAACTCCAGCATCAATTACAAAATCAGTTATGTTGAACAAATTCTGGTTTCAGGAGGGTAGTATTTGTATGAAATCCACTAAGTTCTGTCCTCATTCTCATTCTAGTTTACTCAGGGTCTTTCAGGCACGACACAGAATGGGGAAGGAAAGTTAGCTGAGTAGTTGCTGTGTGTAGAGTACTTGCTACACACACACACACACACACACACACAAAATATTAGAACAAGGCAGCAGCTAATTCAAGTGGGAGATAAACTGCCTTGGGAAATAGCTAAGGAGAAAAAGTTGAGAAAGAGCAAGAAAATATTTCTAGCTTCCTAGGAATAGGAAATTACATCCCACAATGTAGGAAAAAAGCCATCACCTTAATGTTTTCAAATTTGCACAACAGGCCTCATGCAAGAAGGTTAAAGAGATGACCACAGAGCACACTCATCCAGCAGTTAGCCCATACCTGTGGCTTTACACCTCCCTTTCTGGACTATGTCTTCACTCTAAAAAACCAAGGAAAGAAAAATAAGTGGGCCATGCCTATACTTCTCAAAATTCCAGACATGTAGCTTCTTTCCTAAGAAAAGCCCCCTTTTGTCACCATGGCTGAGAATTAAAACAAAAACAAAAAAACCCAAAACCTCCCCCCTCCCATTTTTTTTAAAGTACACAATACCTTAAAATATAAATTGCATTTAATATCTCAAAGTTAACTTAAGAATACCATCAATGTAAAAAATGGGGAAATAAAAACACTAGAAGACTTAATACAGGCTTGTCCCCAAATGTCACAATAAATAGCAACATAATGATTACAACTTAAGAGGTTGAAATTCAGTACATTTAGGTCACCAAAAAAGTCATTTTTCCATCTGCTTTTGGATGAGAAACTACAACAAAGCTAAAGGCCTTCTAATTCTTTTCGCAATCAAAGATCATGTATTAATGTGGAAAGACCATGCTATTTCCCCAAAGCAACCTTCCTGAATAGGTAGGTGCCAAGCATAAAACTCTTCAAAGGCAACCAAGTTCCTGCCTGTGCAAATGCATCTCAGGGGCCCTAGGGCAGTGGTAAACCACTGAAACAAACAAACAAACAAACAAAAATCAGAAGATGGGGAGGTTAACTGAAGCTAAAAGCAAACAGAAGAACCACAAAACCAGTTTGTTTTATTTTTAAACATTATCGAACAATCTTGCAAGCAAGATTGATTTTATAAAGCTGCCCAAATTCCTACAAACTTTCTTCTATACCCCCTGCCAGAGGGACAAAAAAACAAACACAGAAGTAGGGTATTAATCACCCTACTCCCAAGTAAACAAAGACTTTTTAAAGGAAAATTCTCTCTCTCTCTCTCTCTCTCTCTCTCTCTCTCTCTCTCTCTCACACACACACACACACACACACACACACGGATCAATACTACCTTCTTCCACACAGACCCTTGTTACTGGAAGGACAATGGGAAGCTTAATACACAAGAAGGTGTTTTCTCTAAAAGCTCTGCCTTCCCAATTTTGCTTTTCTTACATTTTGCTGCCTGGTCTGTAAGAAAACAGATGCTTTTGGGGAGAGAGGAAAACTGAGTGGAAACTAAAAGTTTTAGGTTTGCTTTTCACATCTTTCATTTCTGTGGGGAACCAAACAAAATGCATGTGCTCTCTGAGGAAGCTTGAACCACTTTTGTCCTGTCTTTCCTTAGAACTCCACGAAAGTCTCTTTCTGTTAACATTATCTCTACCTTTCTCGGTGGCCATTAGGGGAGGTATAAAGGTGGTTCCAAACAGAGTTGAAAAGAGTTAAGGGGGGTGGGACACCTGGATGGCTCAGTCAGTTAATCGTCTGACTTGGGCTCAGGTACTAAGTCCAGGATCCTGGTACTGAGTCCCATGCCAAGGCTCCTTGCTTAGCAGGAAGCCTGCTTCTCCCTCTGCCTGTCACTCCCCCTGCTTGTGCACTCCTGCTCCCTCTCTCTGGCAAATAAATAAAATCTTTATATTTAAAAAAAAAAAGGTTAAGGGGGGAAAGGTGCACCAGAAGTGGGGCTGGGGGATGGGGGCTGCACAGGCAATCCACCACAGAGAATGAGAGGCAAGCTACCTCTGAGGGAATCTACTTGTGAAACATTAACATGTTCAAAATAGGACCTCCTATTGAGTTTAAAAATCATACTTAGCAAGTCAGTGGTACTCGCTAAAAGGCAAACTACTTTCCCCACAATTTCCCCAAGGAAAGATAAATAACCTGGAAAGAATTTATATTTGGTTTTGGAACATATCTTGGAATTGATATGGTCTTGACATGTTTCAAAGATGCAACAGTTGAGGCACCTGGCAGGCTCAGTCAGTAGAGCATGTGACTCTTACCTCACAGTTGTGAGTTAAAGCCCACACGGTGGGTGTAGAGACTTAAAAAAAAAAAAAAATGCAAGAGCTAATGAACAGCATTACCTCTCTGATATAAAAGCACATCTCCTACACACTTTCCTTCGTAAGGCGAGGTAATGAATGTTTTTTTATTTCTCAGAGTTTTCTGCTGACCTAAAAAGCCTGTATGTTGAGTAAATGACAAAACACTATCCTTCCCAGAAAGATGACC